GAAGTACTTTATTGTGAAAGTTTAATGAAAAAGAACATTTATTAGGTGTAAGGAGTACTGGAGACTTTTGAGCCTTTGACCTCGAGTCTCAGAAAATCCTCTAATTTGCCACTTCCACTAGGACCTTTGCTTTCTCGGGGGCTGCAACTGCTCCTTTCTTTCATTGAAATCAGTTCGATTTGAGGCGTTTTACAACTGAAACAACGAGTTTAGCATGACCTTTTCTCCTTGCAGTAAATGGGTACTTGAATCTGAAGGGGGTGGGGGGAGCTGGATTAGGAGGGGAGGTTCGGGAGGGAGGAGTAGGGGGAGGCAAAGTGAAGGTGTTGGGGTGGGCATTGGGTGGAAATCACAGCAGTGAAAATGGCAGAGCGGTGAAAGAGGGGCCTGATTGCATTGGGACAGCATGTGAGACGGAGCAGCATGCTCAGCCCAATCAGAGCCACATAAGGGAAAAAGTGCTCTTATCAGTGAGTAATGGCCCACTTGACAATCACACAGGCACAAAACTGCTCTATTTAACGCTGATTGCAAAAGCTGCTGCCCCCCCATCTGAGAGCTGCATGACTCCCCCGATGTCTCCCTGCCACCTCCCAGCTTACAGCCAAGACCTTTTCCTGAATGGAATTCATAATCACCCCCTCCTCGATTTCCATGCTAATTGTTATTTTAAGGCCCGCTTTGTGTGCGTCAGATATTCGGTGAAACGTCTGCCTTGATTGCCGTGTTTATTGCTGCTCCACCAGCTCGACAGGAATCTCACCTACCTGGTCTGTTCATCCTCAGGGCCGCTGCTTGGAGTGAAGGGACCTGCAGGAGTGCTCATCTGGAAACTGTTCCAGAATCAGTCTTTTAGGAGTTTATCCACAAACATAAAAGTGGATATTTAACAAGAACTTGTAAACAATTATTAGTCACCTTCATACTGCTCAAAAATGTAAAGGCAGCAATCCACAGCCACACTGCTCTTAATGGAAACACCCAGAAGTGGTTGTACAGCAGGTGATTATTTTTGTTAATTATTGTATGAAAAATTGTACGTCTTTAAATCGATGTGTATTTTTTGGAGTTTCAGTCTGAATTTTAAGAGTGCTAACAAAATGAGAATCTAATTAAGCTTTTAAGTACTCTTTGTGGTGTTCAACATTTTATTTGCTTGGTTTTTTTTTTTACATCCCACTCAGTCTAATTTCATTTGACCTGAGAGTTTCTAAATTATTTTTACATAGAGAATTTTTCATTTTTTTTTATTTAGAAATTTAATTTAATTAAAAACAAAATAACTATATACACTAGAAAACAAAGAAGCATGCAAACAATCAAAAATAAAATGAAAGGTAGCTGAAGAAGAATAAATTTATGAATATGTTGTGTTGTCCCGGCAGGTGGGGAAAAACAACTAGAGCTGGGAGCTGTTTTTGTAAAAAAAAAAAAAAAAAAGAAAGCTATAATAATTATTGTTTTAGGCCTATTAAGATCTTTTCGTGCATCAGTCTGCTTCTTCTCTGTTTTGTCCAGTGTGTTTTGGTAAATGGTGAATTGGAGATATGAACTGGTGATGTTTTAAAGGTTGTACTCTGCTTCTCACCAGGCAGCAGGTATTATTAGATCACCTGGCTATTCAAACAGGACGAGGCAGGTTTGCAACCTGAATGAAAGTTTATCTTGAAAGCGCCTTCATGACAATTTGTCATTCATTTTTTTTACTTTGCATAATTTGAGTGGCATGTTGGCAGAAACAGTAAAGAAATGCTTCACTTCTGTTTATTTCCATTTTCTTTGTTGTATTGCCCTATTTCTTTTTTTTTCTCCCCATATATTTCTTAAAAGATGTTAATCATCTAGATGAGTGGCACACTCCAATAAACCGTACAGGTGTGCACATGCACGGTGCACACCTGTATACAAATGAAGAAGAGCAACAAGGCAACCGTTTTCTGTTCTTGTTTTCTTGTGTTCACCTTGGACAGTTCATCAGTCTGTCCTAAATCCACAGAGATTAATTTAGTATCACCAATCAGCTCACAGCACGCTTCTGAACTGTGGATGAATATCATAGTACCCACACAGAAAGGCGCCACGTTTTGAACCTGAGATCTTCTGACAGTGACGCAACAGCATCTGGTTTTAAGTAAAGTGTTAACGATCTGGACCTTTTGTTACTACAGACTAAATCATGTTCCGTGAGCCTTTTTATTGATCTTGAATTTGTGTTGTCTATACAACAAAAACATTACTTTATCAGTCACTGACATCATTAAGATTTATATATATATTAGATTTTATTGTGGCTTTGGGAAGTATTTAGATCCCCTTTAATTTGAGTGATTTTGTTGTGTGGCAGCGTGATGCTATCATTAAAATCCCCCCCCGCCCCCTCCCCCCCCCCCCCCCGGCCCCCTTTCAATAGTCTACACTCATTATAAAGTAAAAGCTGAAATTTAAACATGACTGCAACTGAAATATCACAATTACATAAACATTAAGAGCCTTTCCGTAGAAGCCCCATGGGCAGCAGTTACAGGCTCAAGTCTTTTGTGGTTTGCTGCAACAAGTGTTGCACTCCTGGATTGAGGGATTTTCAGTCAGTACAATCCCAACGATGCACAGACATTTGCAGGTTCTCCAGAGATGTTGTCCCTGCAGGTGATGAGCTCTGTGGACCAGGTTTTCAGTGAGGACCTCTGGATTTTGCTTCACCAGTTTTCTCTTGCCACTGACCAGTCTTCCAGTCCCTGCTGGACAGGTGGTGAGTGATGCATGGCCTGGACCAACCAGTTTAGTCTGGGTTTGACCAGACCAGACCAGAGGATCTTGTTCTTCACCATCCTAAACTCCTTCAGTCATCCATCTTTCAAGTGTTTTGCATCAAGGAGAAGCTTTACCACTCTGTCATAAAGCCAAGACAGGTGGAGTTCTCCAGTTCTGGTTGCTCTTCTGCAGCTCAGTCACATCTCCACACAGGCTCTTTGAAACTCAGAGATGCTATCAGGTTCTGGGTCACTTCCTTGATTTACTGATCATGAAGGCCACTGTGCGCTTGGGAAACTTTCCCTTGCAACCTGTCTCCAAGCACCACAGACAGTTCCTTCAACCTCATGGTTTGGTTTTTGTTCTGATCCAAACTGTCAGCTAGAAGGCCTTGTGTACGTCTCTATCTCTTTCCAAATTATATCCAATCACTTTGATTTGCAACGGATGGAATCTAATCAAGGTGTAAAGACGTCTCAGCAGCAATCAAAATAAATGAGAGACATTTGGTTGCAAAATTTCAAGTGTTGTTGCAAAAGGTCAGAATACTTATGTAAATGTGGTATTTCATTAAAAGAATGTATACAAATCTGATTTCATTTTGCAGTTGTGTTGTACTTGATGTAGATTAGCGGGGAGACAATGAATTTAAATGACTGTAGCATCAGCGTTCAATGTAAATGGTAAATAGACTGTGTTTTTATAGCACCTTTCTGTCTAAGCAAGACACTCAAAGTTATCTACAACACAATTTGTCTCTTTATTTACCTCCACAGCACTCTATTAGATCTTTACAAAGCTAATCTGGATCTGTAGACTAATCAGTGCATTATCACACTCATACACTGAAGGGACACACATCAGAGGCAATGAGGGGTTCAGTGTCTTGCCCGGGGACACTTTAACATGTGACTGCTGGTGGAATCAAACCTCCAACTCTCCCATTGGAGGACGACTGCTCTAACCACTCAGCCACAGCCACCCCGTAACAACAAGTGGGGCAAAGTGAGTGGGGTCTGAATACTTTCTAAAGTCCATGAAGGTGTCGTTGTCATGAGGTGTAGGTGTGCTTGTCTGCACCTTCCAACATGAATTCAATCTGGGTACAGTGTGCTGCCCTGGGTGTGTCAGGTAGTCTCCAAAGACACATGGCTCCCCCTACTGGTCAAAATTGGTATTGATGACTTCACGTAATTATGGAAATGAAAGGCCCCTGCCCCTTGTCATGCCAAGGTTTTAACCTAATATCTTATAATAAAAAATGACACGTTGAATGCATTTGGTCAAACTTTGAATTTAACGTTCTGCATAATGTCAATATTACAAGCTGAGAGTATGTGTTGGGGATGACTCTCAGCTACTACCACACCAAATTTCAGGTTAACGTGTAAAAGTGACAGAGCTATACTGTAGCCCTTTGTGTGATGGCTTGAGTGGATTAACTGTGGCAGCCATCTTTAACTGAGCTGTCTCTATAAATTAATGAGTTGTAGATGATTACTTTTTGCAAGTAAATAAAATTCATCAAGTGGTGTAGGAGATTTTTCACTAATAGGCATACAAAGACACACGAGCAGAAACTATATTGTCCACCTTTTTTCTTTAGTCAGAGTGCAATAAAAATTCAAAATATTGTATTGTGAATATTTCATGTCTTGTGTTGCACACATCAGAGAAATGAGATGATTAATGCTGGTTAATGCTGCAAGGTAACAAAGGAAAGTTTTTAATGTTCTGTGCAAATTATGTAGGCTGCTTTTTCACTTCTCCACCAGAGGGCGACAGAGGATCTGCACTGACTCGTCCTTCTCAACAGAAGCAAAACATTAAATTCGTAATAACAAACAAAAGCATAAAACTTCCAAGTTTTTTTTTATTTTATTTTGTTTTTATAATGTAAAAGTTGTTTCAACACCTAACTGCTTAGAGTCCTACAACACGTGTGAGTGATCTGTTTGTTGCTTTGTTGTAGTTTTGTTTGGATGTTTTTTTTTCTTACTTGACACTTTGAAAGCGGAAACCGGCCTAGTCACGTGATCTCCATGGCAACCATTAAGCATCGTTGGTCCGTTTGAGGAGCCGCTCCAGATCGCTTTCTGCTCAAAATCCACCGCCGCAGTCTTTCAAAACCTTGTTTTTTTGTCTCTGACATCCGGTGGGACATTTCACAGAGAGGACAGAGGACACTTCTCGGTACCTTAAAGATGTCGGGGTTTCTTACAGAGAGAGCGAGCAGACAGAAAGCCGCCATGAGTCACAAACCCGGGTAAGAAGAAGCAGTTTAATATTTTTTTATTCCTTCCTCTTTTGTAGTCAGGTGTTAAAAATTAACCTTTAACGACTCTGGTAAAATGCTCAGAGCTAGAATGACTCACAAAATTAGGTCAAAACTGAAGTTAGACCAACTTTTGGCCTAATGAGTTATGAAAACTCACAAGTGTTAAAGTAATTTTACTCATTTATAGGGCTCGCTACAGTGGTGCTGCTTTTGCTAATTGGTTTAAAAATGCACAATTTAGAAAATGAACAAACTGCTTATCTGTGGATTAATAATTCTGACATAACGACACATTCATGCTTTTATTACAAATTAATTGATGTTATGGTACTTTTTATATTTTTTTTATAATTTAGAGGGAAGCCATTTTTTTTTACTTCACATCTACATTTAATAAAATAACTAAAAGTGTTTGTAACAGTCATGTGACTAACATTCAGTCTGTAAATATACAATAGGCTATTAAAACTTCTAATTACAATATTAATGTACTGCTTGCATGTTGCTAAATAAATAATATGAAGTCAATAATGTGAAAATGAGTCAACGAGAGGGATCACTTGGTTGCGTAATAACTTGTTTGACTGGTTTTTATTTATTATTTATATTAATATAGCATACCAACAGTCATCTTATGCTGCTATTCAACAAAATAAAATTAAATAATTACATTCAGGACGATGAAGTAAAACCCTATTGCAGTTTAACTATTTAGACCAAATGAATTATTTGTGACGTGCATTTGCTCCATTTTACCTCTAACTTGTAATACACGACCTCCAGTTAGATATAGAACAGGTGCTGCGTGACATTAAACATGAATTCCACAGAACACGTTCTGACACGCAGAATGAAGGCACTGAAACAAAATATTTAAGAGCGATGCATAACCTCTGTTTGACTCTATCCCTTGAAAACCTCAGAACATATTCGAGCATTAAAAAAAAAAAACATAATCTAAGTGATAATTTAAAGTCAAAGCCTGCAGTCCAGACTAACCCATAAAGGCAAACAAGCCATGTGCACAAAGACGAGGCCGTTTGGGTCAAGTGTGCCTTCATGTCTGTAATCAGACACCTGTAACACACTCTGTACTTGAAGATCCTGTTGTGTTGTACACAAATGCTGCTGGAAATCAAATCTGCACTGGAAAAAAAAAAAGGTGCCTTTAGACGTACCGGTTTGTGGAAGAGCTGATTTCCTGTTAATGAGGACAAGAGGAGAACTGCCAAGAAACAAACACGGTGCTGTGCTCCACTGAAGCATTTGATTAGCCATAATTAAAGTCTGGATGTTCTTCACGAGGCCAGACTGTGCTCAGTATCTCTCTTGTGTTTTCATTTGTTTGCTTTCTGCAGACTTATGCCCACCTATAACAGCCTCACGGACAAACATCTCGCCGATTACTTTAGAAACGCTCGAATCAGGAGGCACCTGCAGAGAGCAGGCCTGGTATGTCAGCAGCATGACCAGATGTTTATGAAGGCATCTCAAGTCACTTGTTTTATCCGTTGTACCTTAATATGTTGAGGCGGTTGTTTTCATCAGCTCACCAGGAGTGGACGAGTTGTTCCAGACAAGGAGTACAAACACAAGCTGCTCCAGAGAGCCCACCAGAGACACGTCACAGAGTGCCTGGCCCAGGCCATCTTCCACAAGGTGTTGGAGATGAAGGTGAAACATGGAAAAGGAGACGGAACACGGCCAGTTAGTTTGTTATTCCCCTCGCATAATTAACTGATGCTAATTTTTCCTGCCACTCTTCCAGCGCCTCCACCAAACGGAGATCAAAAGGAAGCTGGAGGAGTTTGCACGAAGGGAAAGGGTGCATAGGATGAAGGTGCATCATTTACATTTAATCAAGCTCCGCTGCCTTGTTCTGCAAATCGACTCCCATTAAGCTAAATGAGATGAGAAGGCAGTCAGTGATGAGAGTTCATTTGCACAAATAAACACTTTGCTGCGTTTCTCACATGATGTGGAGCTCGTCTGTTTGTACAAAGACAAAATTAGACATTTAAGGACAAGAACTAAATCTGTAAGCATTATTTACGTTGTACTGTGGACTTTTCAAACACACGGCAGCATCATGAATGTTCTTGTTTGGAAGGTGGAGCGCTCCAAAACCTATAAGGAAGACACGACCAGCCTGTTTCCACGTGCACCCACGAGAGCCAGGGACCTCCAGGAACAGCACTCTGTGCCAGAAGGGGATCAGTCTGAATCCTCTGAGTCTGTGAGTAAAATACTCCCAGTGCAGCCCCTGACTGACCCTACAGGGTCCCACTGTGGGCCTGAGCTGGAAAAGACACTGTAACGTCCATTTGGGAGCTTTTTTTTAGTAGTTTCTCACAATTTATGGCAATAGTTCTAAGTGCCCTGCTGAATTAGGAATTCTATCCATCCATGATCTTTGTCCAATTCTTCCTTATCGAGTCGTGGGGGGGTCAATGGTGTCCATATCCAGCAGTGACTGTGTGAGAGGCAGGGGACACCTGGACAGGTCTCCAGTCCATCACAGGGACACATAGAGACCAACAACCATTCACTCTCTCACTCACACGTAGAGACAATTTAGAGTTACCAATCAGCCTAACATGCATGTTTTTGGTCTGTGGGAGTGTAGTGAGTCACGTGGGTACGTGTCACTAGTTGTAGTATGACAAATATATGAGATATATGCATACTTTTTCACGAGTTCCTCATCTTTCTGACTGTGTAAGTCGTGCATTGAATTTTAACAAAAATGTAACGAGAGACGTTATTATCTTTGACCCATCAAATCAATGCGGCCATTTATTTTCAGAATCAAAGTTTAACATCAAACATTTACATTAATTTGGCAAAATATGAAAATAATAACAGACAAGTTTCACAGAAAATGAGCATCGATCACTCGGCGGTGAACGAGGACTTTGCTTCAGATATTTCTAAAATATCTGTACTGGTTTTGTGAGAGAGAGAAGAGTTTAAGATGAAATGGAGATTTATCTTACAGAGAACTATGTGAGGGAATTAATATCTGTAGACCAGAACGTGCACGCTTCATCAGATCTCAGCTCGCCTCCGGTACACTTTAGTCGAAGAAGAGACCGTTACCTGGTTGATGATAGATCAGCTCGATAGAGAATCCTCCAGACCTTTCAGCGTCTCCGTTGAGAGCTGCTGAAATCCTTAGATAGTCGTGCGTGGGTTGTTCAAACAGAAGTTATAATTCCAAACGTCTCTGACTCTCCTGAATTCTCGAATTCTCTTCAATTCACTTCACCATTCTCCATGAATTCTCCATGAATTCTAACAAATTCTTTCAGAACTCTTTACCATTCTAACTCTCTAACAGAACCGAGAAGTTCTCACATTTTAAATGAGTTTACTTCCGGGTTTACTTTAGAGCTTTCTGATTCGTGGATGGACCAGAAAGAGGTGTGGTTTTTGACGTAAGGTATTATCAAAAGTCGAGGTCAGGGAATGAATTTGTTTTCAACATACAGAAAAGATTATTGCAGAATACCAGACTTTTTGGAGCCTCACTCTGTTGTATCTTTCCAAATAGTAAAACATGACATCCCATTTTCAGTAAACATTTAGTTGACCGAAGCTTCAACTTTCACATACTTACGACAGCTTGCTCATTGAAGACAGACAATCAAGAAATGCATATTAACCTGATTTCTTCTTTGAATGAGGAATAAAAATCATTACTTACTGTTTATGTAAAATAAAATGAGTAGTTCTTTTTCAACCTGTAAGCATTGAATGGAACTAACACAATTTGATTATCAAACATTTGTAAAACAGTAATGATTATAGAGGATTGTCTTTTCTGCTTGATTAATTCAAGAAAGAAAGTCATCAGATGGCTCAGACTTATTCAGATCAATGAAAATAACAGTCTCTGTCCATCTGATAGATTTGAGGTCATCAGGGTC